TGGATGTGGGTCCGCCATGAAAGATACATGAACGGAGGGTCCAACCATGGGCCACCCAGGTCCGGGTTCGCTTGAAGTTATCGAGCAAGTCTTTGTCACATTTGTATGACATTGGGAAATACGTGGCTGAACGGCTTGTCAAAAATTGCCCCATTGAGAATAGTAACATATTTACATATATATATATATATCTTTCTATATATATATATATTACGAAAGCCAGCCGATAGGCTAGGCTTGAGCTCTTAGAGCGAACGAAGGGTGTGGGGGGGAAGGGTGCGAAAAGGCGCATTTTGAGAGGGTGAGCCCGGATCTTGGTGCGGGAGATGCAATGGACGCCGAGCAATGCATCATTAGCATCATGAAGGGGTCGCCGGAGTCTCCGTCATGCCTGCGTCTATCAACAACAAGCTGCTCACCAAGTACATGAGGAACGGCCAACCGACGGAGAGTTGCCCGTGCGCCATCGTGTTGCAGAGCGGCCGGGCTTGCGGTGGCAATCATAGTGCGCAAGTGGAGACAAGTTTTCTAGTCCTGAGCAGGGCATAGGGACTGTGTAGCTCTGATCATACCAAGAAGGACCAAGCAACAAAGAGTGAACGCTCTGGGAGCGAACGATGTGAGTAAGTGCAGTTGGGCGAGGTAGAGGCTTGGGGATAAGAGCGCCGCAAGAGGAGAAGCACGAAAGCTGCAACAGTTCAACACTTCATGCTGTGCTCCGATCTTGATCTCAGTCGCAGTGATACCAGCTCCACGAAACTACAAGCTTTCAACTATAGGTGCTTTGCTATTTGGCTTCGCATTGATGCACGATACCCGAAACACATTTCAACACTCACAAAAACCATTTCGGGCATCATTTTCTGGTGTTCACTGACGTCTACTTTTTGCACGGACTCTCAAATAGAACGCCAACAAGGGACGCTCCAGAAGGCGCCGCACCAAGCAAATCCAGCTCCACGAAAACTACAACCATTCAAGAATGAGTGCTCTCCTCTTTTCTTTCTCCCAGCCCTGCTCTTTATAGGGCTTCGCATTGATGCACGATGCCCGAAACACATTTCAAAACAACCAAACCCAACCTTTCAATTAAACCACCAAGCAGGGACGCTCCAGGGAGCACAGCGCCAGGAAAATCGAGAAAAAACATTCAATACTTCATGCTGTGCTCCGATCTTGATCTACTCCACGTTGATACAAGCTCCACGAAAGCTACAGGCATTGAACAATAAGTGCTCCACTATTTTTTCCTCCCAGTCTTGCATTACCATATTGTTTTTTCGCTGGCTTTCGTTTTGTCCTTTCTCAGGTATATTTTTTCCGTACCAGATTTTTTGAACCTCTTAATGATCCAGGCGTAGAGCAGGCACTTGCGAGGGTTGTTTCTTCAATAGAGTGTTGGTTTTTTCAACAGAATCAGCATCAGAGTAGAGCTAGGTGCTATGCCCTTAAGAAAGGCGCGCCAAAAGACAATTATTGTGCTGTACATTTTGTGACTGCTTCGGCACCACAGGCTGGGAAACTTTTCCAAGCATTCACCCACTGCCCATGCATGATGATTACATACTATGGTCTATGGATCTATGGTATTTTCACGTGAGAAGCTTGTTCACTATTGCGTTATCCATGCTGGCCTTTCGTCAACCCCTCCTGCCCCAGAGTGACGACAGTGAAACATAGTGAAACAACGAAAGTAGTTTGTGCTTCTGAAGTCTGAAGATTGGTGCAAACTTGGTGGATACTGGCGACTTTCCATTACAGTAATACCATCTCCGCATATGTTCACACAGTTTCCGGCGTGAAGTCGTGCTTTTCAGCATTAAATCAACGTGAGGTCTATAACCAAAATGGGATTGCTGAACATGTTCTAGTCTTGGGGACTGGGGTGCACCGCCTTGGCCGCCCTGGCCCACGGATTTGATTAGCTTCTTGAACTCAAGCATCTGAGGATCGCACTCGCCTTGAAAGCATGGCGGCTGGAAAGGAGCAGCTGGGAGAGGACTGGCCAGGGATGGAAGGGATTTGAGCCAAAGACCCTGTTGTTCAAAGACAAAAGACCTCCCCCGAACAGAGTGTGAACATGTTGCAATCACCATTTCACAGACTGAGAAGATGGCACTGACATTCACCCCCTCGAACAGCCGGAATGATGAGAATCGACCATAGAAATGTGATTTCTTGGCATGCGTTGGTCACAATTCCAGAATAAACGGGAAGAGGGCTCGTGTGAGCACACTGTTTCACTGTTTGGTGAATTAACTTTTCCTAGGAAGCTCCTCACAGAAGTCGTCCATGGACATCATTTTGATCCATTTTGCTAGGGGCTGATGGATCTTGGCCAAACATCGTGAGCCAACACGCTTCACCAGGCCATCCAGGCTTCCCTGGCCCATACATTTCTGGGGTCCTGTCGGTTCCGATTTTTGGCCGTTTCGAGTGGACAATCTGGTGACGTGAGACCTGATAGGTTCTGAAATGAGCGATTAGGCCATGAGCAAAGCAGGACGAGGCTGGAGCTGTCATGTCCTTCTTGGCCGCTTGGCTGAGTTAAGCGCTAAACGGACTGAGATGTTTCTGGCGTGCGAGAAGTACAACATCCCCGCGGCTTTGCCAGATTCAAGAAAGAACAAAGGTGTGAGACGGATAGAGGATGATAGAGGCAATAATATATATAAGCCTTTTCGGTTGTTCTTCTCAGAAGGCATTCAGTTTCCTTCAATTCTCCGCTGTATTTTCTGAAATTAGGGTGTGCCAGAAAACTCCTCTGAATCATTGGGTGTTCATTCTTGCGCCCTTCAACCACTGGTGTCTTCCCTCCTGGAGGGGTTCTGTTCCCTAAACTCGATTCCCATCTCCCCAGCTCTCTTGACTTGTCTCAATCTGTGTTTAGTCTCAATTGCCATCGGTTTGCGGAGGTTGCGACCTTACCGAAGATCTTCTCGCAGCAACACGTCAATTCCACGAAGCTCTTAGAGCTCCTACGTGAGCTGCGGCCAGAGCCACCTGGCATACGTTCAGCCACATGACGAGCCTGGTTCGAGAACGGGTTCCGGTGCGGGGCGGTGTGATCTGAGACCGAGGTTCGTTCCAAAGCGCACAGAGCTTTATCGATCTGGCTTCGAGACTACAAAGGTGACACTAGTTTTGCAAGGCTGGGAGAGCACAGTCAAAGACCGCGCAAGGAGAAGGATTCACAGAGTTTCAAGACGGAATTTCACTCCTGACCGGTGGTGCTCCCGTGCGTCCGGCCGTTTGGTCCATGGGGCCGTGGGTGAGGCGCCTTTCACCTGACCAGTGGCGCCGACCAGTGCGAGAGCACCGTTGGGCCATGGGCGTGCCTTGGGGTGGGCGTGCTACTGGCGAAAGCCGACAAGTGACCTGGATGTGATCCGGAAGAGGGGCGGGCGCCTGACGATGCGATTCCACAGGTTGAGAGCTTCTGCCCTTTCTGAGTTTGTCAGTTTGTTCTGCCCTTTCTGTGAGCTTCTTCACTTTGAACTCCAGAATTCACCTCTCAAGTGCTGAAGATTCAAGATTCTCACTCGGCTCAATGCCATCCGCCAATGCTCTAATGCTTCATATCATTTTGCCACATTGCCACATTTTTCTCACGCATACATGTTTTATTCCCTGTATCTTTTGGTCCCTTCACTATGATACAGTCTCTCCTGCTGGGAACTTGCTATGAGACCCCTGCTGTTGATTGCAGGGTTTTGTCCAAGAAGATCCCTTAGTTTTGACACAGAGGTACACCTCAGACTTTACAGCAGTTGCCCTAACCGACGCCTTCATCTTGCAACTCGAACGCCAGAGATACTTGCAAGCGGCAGCGTGCCTTGGAATGCTTTTCATGCAGATTCTTCAGAGCTGATTGTTGGTAGTGTTCCCTTGTCGGAGAGGGCTCGACCACGTTGGTTTGCTTCGAGTACCTCCATATACTGTATATACTTTTGAAGGACCTCAAAAATCCCACTCACTTGATCCTGAAAGCCTTGATCTCTCATGAAAGTGTCTCAAGATCAGACCCACCGAAAAAGCGTCCGCGTCGAAGGGATACCACCGGCAAAACCGCGTCGCTACGTCACGTGACGTCCGAGGTCAGACAGACTGGGCCATATTGACAGTTTGGCCTAGGTGCGGCAGGGGACATTCTTCACATTGTTGCTAGTAGCGTCCTTGTTACTAGTAGCGATGCCCTTTGTTGCTAGTAGCTATTTGCTACTAGTAGCGATGCCAGGAGCTACCAGTAGCTGCTTGCTCCTAGTAATGAATGTCGGCTATGTGATGCAATATCATTTCACGGGGTTTGACGCGCTCGTTCCGTTGAGTGTTCCTTCCAGTTGAAATTGCAGGTGCTTGGGGTTGGCAAAGTGTTTGTATGATGGCAAGTTTGCTTCCACAGACAAAACGTGACCAGATACACCACGTGACCAGATACGTGGTCATCTAGTCCAGCCAAGTCGTCCAAAAGAATCACAGGATATCACAGGATGCCGTGCCAGGCCTAAAATCGTCCACCAGCCTGGTGACGCCGCCTCAAATGAGCCTCAGTCCATCAGTATATACAGATGCCGCATGTGGCAGCTTTTCTAGGGGCTTTTGCTCTGGTGCTACTTCTTTGGGCAGAGCTCTTTCGTTCAAAAACGAAAGTCATAACACCTCTGCCGGGCAGAGTCGCAGGAGATAGCTCGAAAAGGCTTTGGAGCTTTGGTTGTGAGAGTTGCTTGGATCCTTTACCAGCATGAATGTTGCATGCGACTATGTACGTGCTGCATGCTCATGCCCAAGTATCATGTCCTTTACCCATTAAGGCCTTGCAGTCAGATTGCAGCCAGGAACAAAGCATAACAAAGAATACCGTTGCAGGAGTTCAGAGCATTGGCATTCGAGCGACCCCCAGCGACAAGCAGCGCAGCAACATGAAACACGTCAATTGTATCAAGTGGAGGGAAGCTCGACTGTTGTGAGTTTGTCATCTTCAGCAAGCACCTATTCAGTCAAGTCGTCCATGGAAGCCGTAGCAGCTAGCAGCTGTAGCACCGCGGCAACACTGTGAGCACCATTTGAGGGGCTGATCTCAAACGAAGGTCTCTGTCACGGGGAGTTCAACCCAAGTCCCAACCGGCGCCCTCAATGCGTGCGACGCTCTTTGGTGCGGGAACCGCACTGGCCGGGTAGCCTTTGCGCATGAGGTTGGCGAGGCCTGGGGTGGAAAGGGGCGAAGGGGCGAAGGGTAGCGTGCATGCGTCCGTCCCCGACATGTCACCAGATGTCACACGATGTCACAAGCATTCTGAGATCCTATGGTCCAAATTCGAGACCCTTCAAGCAGTTGTCTTGGTCGGCTGTTCACAAGGCCTCTCAGATCCCTGAGAAGTTCTTCACAGCGGTGGTTTGTGGCCAATTCAAGGCCAGCTTGTTCATACTGTAAATTTGTGGCGCAGGGCCAGCTCAAGTGAGGCCTCCAAGCGAGGCTGGGGTGGCTCGATTCACCATGATTCACCTATACATACCTATACAGTATACGGCCTTTTTGGCATTGTTGGTCTTGTGTGTCCTCCCAGTTGAGGTTTTGTCCATCTCAGTTTCCTGGACCCCTCGAATCGACCTAGGGTCGCGGACCTGGTGGCTTCCGTGGCGTCGCTGGGCGACGATGAGGCGCGAGGGGGTCGGGCTTACTGCTGACCCTAATCCTCCCCAAGATCCGAAAATTCCAATCAGGCTTCTGACTTTATGAGATGTGACAGCAGAGGCTTCAGGCTTTCTTTTGTTGGGGCGGGAGCCGGGTTTTTGCACCCTCCCTTTCGCGGATGGATTTCCATCCCAGGTTTTGGGCACCAGTTCGCTCACCCCGTTGAGCCAACGAGGCTTGGGCCGGTTTCGAACAGCGTGCGCTGTCATCTTGTGCACAGTGGAGAGGGGAGGAGATGGTGAAGGCAGGGTGAAAACGATGCGAGATTTCTCGATGCGTGGGGATGTCCCAGGCATTTCCCACGTTTCGGGTGGTTGAGGGGTGGTTGGGGCAGTGCGTCCTGGAGCGAGTGGCGCAAGTCGGGTGCGTTTCATTCTAGCGAGAATTGCATCGGGTTAACTCACCCAGACACTTCCATTTGGGCACACAAGAATCACCTTTCTTACAGTCTTACAGGCTATCCTTTTGTCGCAACCGCCCGACTCGGTCCTTGTCCCAGGTGCTGCATGCCTGCACTCAGGCACAGCGCAAGCCCCGGCATCTTCTGCACCGCTTAGCAAAGGACGCCTCCGAAGCAGCAATCTCAATCGGAACCTTGAGGGTCGTCGAAGGCAGCAGGGTTGAACACTAGGACCATTTCGGAGTGAAAGACCCGGGCTTTGGGGGAAGTGGAGAAAGACATGAATCACAAACAAACGTAGCCAGGAGATTCTGGAGAAATTACCACAGTTGGACTCTGTGGAGTTGTGTGACCTGGCAAAGACGTCTACGTAGGAATCCTCAGATGTGTAATCCAAAGAAATACCAGGTGTTCCAGGCTTCTGGAGCTTGCTTTCATTTTGCAGCAAGAATGTCATGTTTTTCAATGTTTTTTTCCAGCTTCCCAAGATGTGAACCTCAACAGGTTGAACAAGAACCAGATGTTTCGAGTGCTTTTTTTTCGTTGATGCCACAAGGAAACAGACAAGAACCAAATGCATCTTGAAGATTTTGGAGGGTTGTTTTGCTTGATTATGCCTGGACATGCTGCCTACACTTTGCAGAGACTTTTCATGTCCAAACCTGAAGATGCAGCGTTTGGGGAAGGCAACAATCTGCGATATAGAGTCATGAATCATGAATGTATACTATAAGTCATTTCGTGCAATGAAAAGGAACATCACACGCTGGACAGTTGTGCCAAGAACCCATGCCATGCTTGACAGATCCAGCTGGGAATCCTCGCGGTTTGTTATCCAACGACTTTGGATCCCAGGGATCCGGAGTCGTTCGCCGATCCCAACTGACCGCGCTATCCACGCCATGTCGTGGCTGTGCTGCGACGTGCACGTCGGGGAGGAGGCGATGTTCGCTCAGCTCGAGGAGAAGTCCAAGTCCTCCACGGAGGAGTCGACTTGGGCCGACAGCTCCAGCGAGGCCGAGGCAGGCGAGTTCAAGCAGGCGAGGGCAGGTGAAAAGAAAGTCGGCCACACACACAGTATATATTGTTATATGATCGTCGAGCGTCTAAACCGCATCACCTGACAGAATTCAAGTGGTTCAACACTTTCGGTTGAACTAACACCTTTGAAGGGACCTTTTAAGCCTTTGTGATCTTTTCTTGTCTCCACTGATCGAATTTCAAACCATTCTGCTCAGAACGCTACAGCTGCTGCAGGTGGACGAAGAGTTTCTAAGATGCATGAAGTCCTGTCGGCTCCTGGAAGCAGTCGGGCACTGCGACGACCCGGAGCTCAGGAAGGATTTGAAGGCGAACAGCTGCAAGGGTTCGCGGTTTAAGTCTCTAGTAAATCCTTATAGGCATGAGGTCATGAGGTTGCCAGAGGTTTCACTGGGCTTGGGATCCATAGTGGACGTTGCTCTCCGAGATGTCCAATGGGTATGAACGCTGATTGGATCCGATGGGTATGCCCAACGAGAGGCCTCTCGTTTCGTCTGATCAAACACGAGTTGCAGTTGGTTCGCCCAACGCCTGGAGGTTTTGAGTCAACGCTTTGATGCCTCCATGCAGATCATCAATACCAAGCACTGCGCGATGACTGTCTCGGGAGAGCATCCGGATTTGAATTTTGTCTATGGGATGAACATGGAGTCCCAAAGCTTCAAGATAGCAGTGGACATCACCTGGCACTTGGATTCCATGAGAGAGCTCTTGATTTTTGCCTCTTTGTACATCGCCAAAGATGCTCAGGTGGGCTTCGATACCACCATGCGCTCCGCGGAAGCTTTGGGCGTTCACACCGCCACGGAGGCCTTTTGGCGGGTTCGAGGAGTGGATGGCGTGGGCATGAAGACAGATGACATCTTACAGCGAAACTGGCTGATTCCCAAGGATGACTCAGCCTATGATGCCTGGCTGGTCGAGACCTCTGCAGCTGAAAAGTTTAACTTACCAGTGGATGAAGGCCATTACCGTGCCCCCGATGTCCTCAATTATTTCGTTCTAGCTGGGCGGGCTGAGAAGGAAGGCTATGCTTTGAACGTGAAGACCATCATTACCATCAGCCCAGATGTTGTGACCATGGCCCTGCTACGTTTGATGCCCGCCTGGGCGCTCCGGAAGGCCCTGGGCAGCACCATTCGGCAAGCGGTGAAAGGGACCCCGGCGCATGTGGAGCGACACCGCTCAAAGCTGGTGGAGGCGGTCGACACCTCCCCAGCGGCTGGCTTCTTCCAGGCGCTGGAGCAAAGAATCCGAGAAAAGTCCTCCAAGTGAGGCGCCGCTGGAGGTCCCAAGATGTGCTGGTTAGGTTGGCGGGGCATGTAGCGAATCGACCGAAATTGCAGGTCTTCAACACTTGCCACCCCTTCATGCCATGCGTGTCGTTGATGATGCCTCGCGATGTCGGAAGCTTCAAATACCTCAGGATCTATGGGATCCAGATTGAATTCGTTCTATTTTGGCGGCCACCAGTGCCGATGCTTGGAAGACCCTTACAGTCCACGGTGTTTGAAGTCTCAGCATGGGCGAGCATTGAAAACTGGATCCTGTCCGAACAAGCTTCTCTAATGGCCCTTTACTCATTTGAACCCTTTTGCTGAAGCCAGCATTTTTCGTCAACAAAGGAATGTTTGTGTCCCGTGTAAAAGTGGTGTCAGTGCCAAGAGCTCGCCCGTTGGCTTTTGTCCATCAGCGGATGGTCGAACGTCTTGACCGCAAGTGTCCATTGGCTTGCGGGGCAGTGTAGCTCCTCTTTGCTCTGGCTGCTCTGCGACTCGCACACTGCCCCCACATTCTTGGCCAGTTTGAGCATGGGGCTCTCGAACAAGCCGAATGGGTTGTGACTGTACAGCAATCCGGCTCTCTTTTGTCAAGTACGTCAGCCAGTCAGACAGTGTGACATGTAAAGGATATTTTCGCTGACTTCTGACATCCTCATGAAACATGTAACTTCCCCAAACTGTTCCAAATACAAAGACACATCTTTTCTTTTGGATCTCATGTTTCAACCTGCATGTTGACATGCTGGCGAAGGTCGCCACTGGTCCGCCCAGAGGTGGCGGAAACCAGGCTACGTGGGATTGAAAAGTGGTTTCTTCAGTCCTTGTGCACAGTGTGTCACTGCAGATGTCCCAATTATTCGGTTTGGTTGGAGATGAACCGATACCCTGGTGGTCTGTGGCAACGTTTGCCATCGTGCTGAAGGGCCGAAGGAAACATCGTAACACAGCTTCTTGTTCCTAGTGGTAAGGCACCTTGCTACTAGTAGCATCCTTGCTACTAGTAGTAACGCCAGGAGCTACTAGCATCGATGCACTTGTTACCAGTAGCTTCTTGTAAATCTTTCATGAGAAGATGAGTTCCGACCGTTCTGGGCCCAGTTGTCTCGGCCGTTCTGCGCCCAGTTTCGGCGCCCAGGCATTTGCCTTCACAGCTTCGCGCAGCTTCGCTCCCGGCCACCTTCTCTCTTCCAGGCGCCCAGTGGCTGGGTTCTGTGTGAGTTGGACCCTTCAGGAGTCCAGAAGAGGCCATCCATGAATTAATGCCATCACGCCAGTGAGAGATCCATCCACAAAGGTACAGATATATACGTCGATTGATGATGATTGATGGTCGATCTGAGTTGAACCACAGCTTTGTACGAAGGATCTTTCAGTGCGAGGCCAATTTCCGGCCTTTTGTCGGTTGGCACTCTCCGCACTTCAGAGGTGGTGACCCGGCAGCTCCTTCGTCAGCGGGCACCTGGGCAGCGCAAAGCCACCGAAAGGGTGAGGTTTTTGTGCGGTTTGTGTGCCGGGTAGTATGGATAATGTTAGCAGCTTAGCAAAGGCGATACAACCAGGCTGACAGCTTGATACATCCCAGCTTCATGCGTGGCATGAGGAGGAAGTAGTCTCTCACCTTGCTCAAGGGGGATTTGACACCTGCTTGTGGCTTGCGAGGTTGCCAGGTTCACTGTCCCTTTTGTGCACCCAAACACTGAGGACTTGGAAGCATCTCACTTGTCCTCCCTCCTCTACTCCCATGTCCGGGTGCTCTACTTCGATCCCGGCCTAGCGAGGCGGGATACTCAGAATGATTCAAGATCATTCAATCATTTGAAGCTTGAAACCACTGAGATAATAGCTTCTTGGCTCTGTTCAGCACAGATCTTGCAAGTTCAAATCCTCCTCAGAACGACCCGACTCAGAGATGTAGGCTAGTTGCGACTCGGATTGCTGCCGAAGAATGGCGTCTGGAGGAGCGGGGACATGTCATCCTGCGTGTGTGGGACAGGCGATGTGAGTCAATTTGATGAACACTGTCAATGAGTTTCGATTTGATGCCTGAGATTGACAGAGATCGATCTGCATTGTGCATTCCCAAATGTTGGAGTTTATTCCCACCACCGAACCAAAGCTCCAGTGAATCTGCTGCGAAGGACCTTGCAACCTCCTTGCAGGCCCTGGCAACATTTGGTGGGTCCTTGCCCTCGCTAGGTCCAGGGCCCAGCTGGGACATTTGGTGTTTTTCACGCGCAGTGAGATCAAAAGAAGACAACGATGGGTTGCTTGCCTCATCACAAAAGACATAAAAATGACCTATGTATGGTCAAAGACTCGCCAAGACTCATGAGAATGTCCCTAGGCTGCCTGTCTTAACACATGGTGCAGGTGTGGAGCTACGCTTGAGCAGCACCTCGGCGCGGCGTGTGGCCAATGAGATGGATCAGATGCCGCTGCCATTGCTGGGAGACTTGCTAGAGGCCTCCCGGCTGGAAGAGAAGGGCCGGAAGTCAGGGCAGAGAAGCACTCATGGCTTTTGTCCGAACAAGGCGTTGCGGCGTTTGCAAGGCACATTTGTATAGATCTTAGCTAAACATGGAGGGTTTGGCGGTTCCCTCATTTTCCAATTTTTCCGATGATTTTCGGTCATGGCATGGAAGTTGGGGCTGTTAGGCTCAGGAGTCACTCTTGGGTACCAACGAGGCAGTCGAAACCTTGGAACCTTGGTGGCAAATTGTAAACAAATCCCTCCCCCAATCGGGCCACCCAAACTGCTCACTTGACTGGGCTCAAGAGAATAGAAAGTGCAGGTGACATGTGGATTGGAGGGTGAATCAAATCACCCTTCGAAAGAAACCAGCCAGGCAGGCCGAAGTTCTATATAAGAAGTCTTCACAGGCAGATGCACGTACACGTTTGAGCATGGGGCATGTGGAATCATTATTGAGCCAAGCCTGATTAGTTGATTTCTTGCCATGTCGACTTCATCACCCAGCACTTTTCTTTCGTTCCTTGGCATGTAGGCAGTAAAGTTTGGTTGATGGACCCGGATTTGCAAACGAACTGCAAAGTCTGTTCGTTCATGTTTGACCTAACCCTTTTGACAGGTCTGGGATTTCAGCCTCCTTGGTTGGCCTGTTGGTGATCTTCCGTGATGTCAGCTTTGCATTAGTCTACTGCTCCCCCGTGGTGTTGCGCTCCTCGAAAACCTTGATGATGGCGATGCTGAACTGCGATTTGGGGCTGGGAACCCATTGGCACATTGATCAGCTTCAAACAAAAAGTGCTGCAGAGGTTTCTCAGCTGATCCTCAGTGAGGTTTCTCGGTGTTCGTTTCAGATCTCTCAGTCCTTCCCAGGACTCTTCTACTTTCGTCTGCAGCATCTCAAGTCGTCTATTCGTCCAGACACTCATTGGCCACGGCGATTGCTTGCACTTCCTCTGCTGCAGTCCCATTCCAAAGCAGCTTGGCAGAGTGAATTTCGTGGAGACTCCGAAGTCCTGCAACCGCGCTTTGGGTGAGTCGATGAGTCGATGAGTCGAGGTCCAGAAACCCCCGGTGTTGACGTGTCGACAAAAGTCTACGTCGAATGTTGAAGGTCGAAAGTAGAGGTCGCACTTTTTAGAAAACCAAGTCATTTACCATTTTGAGATACCCTCACTTCAGAGACTCATGCAAGGTGCTATTGCCTCATCCATTGCTGCAAAGTTAAAGGGGGAACCAGAGGACGCTTTGGTCACTGCGACTTGGTGGAATCCGGCCACGGGGGACAGTTGCAGCCGCCTGGAATCCTGGAACCGGGTGATGGAGCCAGGCGCTGATCCCGACTCTGCACTTTGGAACTGGGAGCTGTCCCCTGATCCTATCACATTGTATGTCAAGCTCTACAATAACCTACAAAAACTATGCATTGGGGATCTGGTTGGCATTTGACAGAGGCGGCGACCACATTTTTGAGTACAGCTCCTGAGTTTTCATAGTTTTAATGTCCAAATTGCCGTTTTGGCAATCAGACCTGACTTGAGGCTGCTACTGTGTGGGGTTTTGCTTTGTTTCCAAATAGATGAACAGCGGGAATTACTCTTCCAAGAAGCATTTTGTGTATTGGCTTGCTATTAGGTTGGAGGCCATCGCTTGCGGGGCATTGACATTGACTTTGGGTTTGTCTAATCACTGTAGGCCGCTCGAGTTGCTTTCAGGTCATGGCCACCTTCGCGATGACGGCGGCCTTGTACGGGCTCCTGTTGATCTTGCTGGGCTTTCTGCCTCACATGGACTGGGGACCCCGCGGAGATCCAAAGATCTAGACATGGGAAGGTCACGGTCTGTAGACTTGAAGGCTAGTGAGGTGCAAATGGCGAGTTCTCCAGGCTCCCACGTCCCCCATGCAGAGGCTCAGAATGACTCAGAGCACTTCTATTGTCACCATAAATGCACCTTTAGAGAGGCGCATGGACAGCTTCAACTAAACCTGTAGATGCTGGAAGCCTAGCGGGGCCTAGCTGTTTCAATTCTTGGATTCTTCGTTTCCGTCACAAGAACGTTTCGTCTACCAGGACATCCTGAAAAGTGCTTTTCCACAGCCAGTGATGTTCGCCTTCTTTTGTGTGGTGGGTATCTTGGACGCGGGAATGGTTTCAGGAAGGCTTCCAGGATTCAGCATTTAAAAAGGGGACCATAGGACCATAGCCATAGCCACTAGGCTAACTGAGGCATTGGGATGCTGCAGAGTGCCCTTGAGTTGGTGTCTGGACAAAGCTTGCAGCTTGACTGCTATAAAAGGGGAGTCATGACAATGACTTTTGGTTCACAGTCGTGGGTGTCTGGGGACTCGCGTGACCTGCGCTCATGTGAAGTTCCACGTGTGTTCTTTTTGGGCGGGTAGAGGTGGGGGTGGGACAGTAAGGTGTTGCACGTGACGTTTAGTTAGTTGACTTAGGGATATAATGCTGCTGTTAGAGTTCTGAAGATGCCGCCCAAATCATGGACGTTGGAGATGTGTTTGAATTGCTATTTCTTCTTGTTGCTCTTCGATTGAGCGGCTCGATACCATGCGACATTTGGCTTCAGGAGGTGGTGTGGCTGCGGGTCCTAACTCGGTGGCTCACAATGAGCAAAAGCGAGATTCATCAACTTGCTGACTTCTGCTTGGGAAGGGGACTGTGAACAAACGCAGTTGATTTTTTCTTTTCTCTCTCGCTCTCTCTCTCTCTCTCTTACTTAGGTCGTTGGAAGATGAATTGCCAGGAGCGGTGACAGGTGCGAACAGTAAATGGGTTTTGCAGATTTATGATTTAAGTAAGATTGGTTTGACGAATTTTGTTCAGCATTCAGTTCTCTTCCAGGCCAGATTGTCTTGACCATTCTGGCTGGTCTCATGAACCGCTTCACGCCCAAGCTAGTGCCACTGGCCAAAGCTTGGACTCACTAAAAGCAGGTCTAACCACAGCATGAATGAAGGACTGCATGATTTTCACATGGCTTGGTTGTAAATCGCATATTTTGGTGTGTTTGAACAACGGACTCGCTCCTCCAGCAGAATCCAGTCGGATTCTGAGGCGCCATTACTTGGTCTTGCCCAGCTGCCTGCTGCTTCAGCACCTGGGATCAAAAAGCCCTAGATCTGCACAAGGATAGCCATAATTAAGGCATAAGGATAGGGCCAAAAGCTTGTCTTTGGAAGCGAAGATAGCAAACCACTTTTTCGCTGTCTACGCGGGAGCTGATGTGTGAAGACAAATGGTGTATTTCTCCAGGACAGACATGGGGGGGCTTTGACGTGCTGAGGATGACCTGCTTTTACCTGGTGGTGTTTTGCCTGAGCTCGCTCTCTGCAGCACGTGATGCAGGTTGGCTTTGGGAGCCATTTCCCCCGTTGGTGTTTCAAGGCAGGACAGCAGCTGATGGTTTATCAGAGCTCAGCAGTGTTGCAACATGTCACAAATCAGCCTCGACACTTGCAACCTGAATCAACCTGATTGAGTAAGCTGCTCATCTGTCTATCGAGTAAGCTTCCTCAGGGTCCGTGCACCCGGGAAACACCGTTTAGATGCATTTGTGCGGAGGTTTGTACATCTCTCTTTCACCTGCACCAATAAATTAAAGACACATGTCCACTGCACATGGGTATAGGACTGCAATGACATTATATATTTGTTTCGTGAATCGGCTTGGAGGTCTTTCCTTGAACACGACCTTGAGCAAGGTGAGATGGTCAGTGGTGCTGGGGCAGTGGGATGCCGTCGTCTCTTTGCAACCTTGCTGCATTTGGCCCATCGTCCTTCACTTATTGAAGCCCTATCCTATCAAATTGGGGAGCAATTTGTAGCAAGACGTGCATCAGAATTCCCTGCAGGTTCAGCAGCTGCTCCCAGATCCTCACTTCTGCTTGCAGGAGTGAGAGGTTCTAAGGTCCTGAAGGTTCCTTTGCAGGGCTCGACTTAACAACTAGCACAAAAGTATATATATATATAGCATTGATGATAAGCAGGGATGGGTCTCTCCTACCATGTGGAAAGAGAACGCGAAAGTAATGCCTCGGCATCACCGCTCTTGACGCGACCACAAAAGAGGATGTTCGATTCCAATTTTCAGATTTTGTGTGACAATTCCGTTTGCGTACCAATGGTGGCTCCACATTTCAGTGCAAAAGCGCACAGGCATTTGTGAGAACAAGTGAGAACACCTTTTTCGTACATTTTGATGTTGCTTTGCACCTTGTTGACAGCTGACAGCTGACAGCAAAAGGTAGGACCGATGCTTGGCGCACACCAACCACCCGAGTTAGTACAGCTTGAACAACCAAAAATGGCCCTCTCTGGCGAGGCTTTCGATGTTGGTTTTGGACTTGCTCACCACTTTGTTGCCGGTGGAACTCATGACCGCCACGAAGTCCATCAAGATGGAGGAGGAGTTTCGAACGGCTGGCTACTCCTCCTTGCTGGCAGGCTCGAGCCTACCTGACAGCTGGGTGCCACGATGCCTCACGATGTCATCCGTTTTCCGAGTTTTTTCTCCGTGTTTGACCAGGAAGAAGCTGAAAAAACCAGAGGGCTGGTTCCTATTTTGGAGATGACACTGCTTGGCATGGAAGAAAGAATGTTTGCGGTAGGCCGAGGGACTGAACCAAATGCATGGCTTGGTGACTGTGAGGCCTCCTTTGGGGCAATGTCTCCTACATCTCCTTGTCGCCCACGCGTTTGAACCACGATGCCGGGGGCGTCAGCCGTGAGAGCGGATTGCTCTCAGCCGGGCTGTGCATCCTGTGGATCTTCGTGGGGCCAGAGCTGACGGGCTATGTCCCCAAGTTTGTGGTTGGAGGCCCTCCCACGCCTTTAGACTCCAGAGACTCCAGAGATTGCTGCATTGGATCAAAAATCAGCGCTAGGCGGCCAGGTGTTTCTATTGTTCTATGTATATAATTATACTGCAACTCGACTGTCATCATGATTGTTCTTGATCGCTTCCTTTACAATGTGG